TGTTTTCCACAGGAACAGGCTGGAAACAAGGAAGTAACAGAAGCGACAGAGTCAACCATTTACTCATGTCCTCTGTGCCAGGAGTGGGTGCAAACCTCTGCCTCACAGGAGCTGCCCTTGGTGGGGGGTGAACCCCCTGTTAAAAATGTTGGATCTTCCATTGCTTTACTGCACACCAATGTCTTCTCTGTTACGTGCCAAATTTGCCCATGTATTTCCTGTATTTGCCCTCAAAAGGCCAACTGCAAAATCCATGAGCAGTTTCTGCATGGAAAATTCACCAGCTAGACTAGACAGCAGGGCACTGATGCACAGGCAAAAGACAAGTCAGAACTGGTAAACATGGGACATGTAGAAATACAGTTGTGCTTTGCCCTGGTATCTCAGACACAGATGCAATCAGATTTTTAAGGATGGCATCTAAACTGGCACCTGCCAGATTCTCCTCGTGGTAAATTTTGTCGCTACTTCTCACACGCATGCTCAGGAGCTAAGCACTGGACTGCGAGATCTGTGCAAGGCAGAATCCATCAATCCTGGATTTGCAGCACAGTTTTGAAGGCAGAGTTCAACCACTCAAAATCTGCCTCAGAACAACCCCATTCCGGAATTTGAAGCTTTGTTTTATTTTTCCAGGCCTCTGCTCTGCTCCCAGGTACGTTCACATGAACATATCTAGCTGCCTAGGAGTGAATGGTTTTACACGGCAGCTACCGTCTGGACTGAGCAGCGTGTGAGATGCTGCGAGGACGGTGTTCTCAAGCCCTCCTTTGAAAAGGCACAGAAGAGCAGACGGCCGATTGCTTCGTCTTCTGCATCTGCATCTTGGGGGAGAGAGGAAAGGAGGTGTGAGGTGAGAGCTCTCTTACCTTGCTGACGTGTTCAGCCATGGTATGGTAATTCAGACCAGCTTTGGACTTAAATTGCTTTTTGCAGTGTTGGCATTTCAAGGCATCCTGCAGCTGAAGAAATTAAATGCAAGTCACCATGGAGGCTACGACAGGTTTGATTTTCCAAGGGCTGCTGCTCTGCTCTAGCCCCATGGGAAGCTGTTGCTGCGGCCGTGGGACTGAGCAGGCAGCTCAGTGCCTCTTACCCCATCCCAATCCAAGCCTGCAGCTCAGAGATTTCTCTCCATCATCCTGAAAACTGCTGTCACGGAATCAAATGCACATGTCCCAGTTTTTGGGAAAGATTCCATTTTGGATGAAGATTTAAAGCCCATTAGGTGGAAACATCTGGACCTAGTGTCTTAGTCTTCCTGTTTGAGGGACAGGTAAGAGAAGGGGCTTTGATCTAGCTGCATGGCACTGGGTTGTGCTCTGCAGCCTATTCCCTCTAACAGATCCTGTGCAGATCCCGTGCACAATGAACTGTACGGGCGTCTGGACTGTTTGGAATTAAAACGCTGCTGGACACAAATCACAAAACTTGCAGCCCCAGAGTATTTCCCGCTTCATATTACTCTGCTGCTTGACCCCTGACTTGGCTTCCTGAACAACTTAAGAAAGGCACTAAAAACACTCTGTTTTGCTATGCAGCCATGGACAGGCTGATTTACAAGGGGAACTTGCAAAGTGAGTAAGCAGATTCTGACTTATGTTGGAGCTGGTGTGAGGATTTATTGACTCAGGAGATGAATAATCCCAGCACCAAGCGGCAGGATGTCTCCAGCAGGAGCTGGTGGCTGGGTCCATTCCCTGCTCCACCTATCCCAGCTGCCTGGCTGCCATTCCACCTTTGCCAGTTCCTATTGAGTCTGGACTATCAGTTGGAAAGAGGATGAAAATGGAGCTACAAACCCATCCTTATCCTGAACCTCTTGGGAAATGAGGAACAAACCGCAGGCAACTGGAGGGACTCACTTGTACTTATGCCCCAGTTGGTTCATTTTGCTCCAGATCAAAGTGTTGACCCTAACAAGGTAAAAAGCTAAAAGAAGCTAAAAGCTTCCTCACTCAGCACATGCCAATTTCACCCAATCCAAGGTAAAAAGCTAAAAGAAGCTAAAACTTCACTCAGCACATGCCAATTTCAGCCAATTTGGGTTTACTCCTGTATCTAGAACTGAAGAACATGACACGTTTGCATGCTAACAAGCCCTTCCACGCAGACGGCAAGGAGGAGATCCTGCCTTCTCCTCCTGCAGCCTCCAGCAAGTCACAACCATCTCCATCCCTTATCTCCTTACAGCTCACAGGGGCGCTGCGAAGCCCACCAGCCCCAGCAGCTCACGGGGAAGGGCAGCAAACCAGCTCCATGAAGCAGTTGCTTCTGCCCACAGAGCCCAGATGGGCAGTCATGCTCTCTCCAGACAGCCTGAGCCTTCAGGAGCTGGCTCTGGAGCAGCAGAAGTGGTTACTACACTTTGTCATAAGCTTAGCAGGCTGTGAGAGCCTCGTTTCCTCCTCTGAACGCCCACATGCCTATTTATAGAGGGGAAGGGAGGCCTGGCTGCTCCCGCAGATCCGTGCGCAGCAGGTTGGCCGGCCTCGTGTGCAACCTGCTGGCCAAGGAGACGCTCAGGAGGCCCAGGAGGCAACGGGCAAATCCCACATTCCCCGGCGCCAGGAGGATGGGAGCAGCCTGAGGATTCCACCCCGCGTCACTGTAATATGAGGTTTGAAGGGATAATAGCCTCCCACTGCTGCATAAATGCTGAGGCAAAGGCTGAGGAGGCATTTACAGAAAATGAATGTGGAATAAAAGCTGAGGCACATATTTTCCAAGCAGGAGGCATCGATCCCACGTTGGCACTCGGTGACGATGGCTCTGCACTGTGCCAGGTGACGGATGAGGATGTAATCCTGGGCTCTGATGGATGGTACTGTGGCAGGGACGCAGTTTTTCACTGCGCCATTACTGAACTCTTGCGTCCTGACAGTCTGCCTGAGCACATCCAGGGCCTCTCTGAGAAGTGCTCTCGTTCAACCACAATTCATCCTGCCTGATGCGAGGCAGGGCACCCAGGAAAATCCCACAGCTGGAGCTTGGAAGTAGGCTAGATTAGACACAAGCCCAGCAATCTCTCTATCCTTAAATCTATTCAGTTAGCTACTAGAAATACCCAGCTCTGCTGGAGACACTGCGACAAGGGGCCCAGACCACAAAGGGATTCAGAATTGATGAAAATTAGCTTCCCAAATCCCTCTGTGAATCAGAACACAAGTGAAGCCGCCAACTGATGACTAGCAAGGACTCTATCAAACAGCCCTAGAACCACTTTTAGGAACTACTGATATGAATTTGGGAGCTTGGCTTGAAAGAGCAGATATCTCTGCATTCTCCTAAACACAAACAAGCCATGACTGAGTATAGCAAGCCCTTACCTTCTGGCAGACATCCATGTGCTTCTTGAGCCCAACAACAGTTTTTCGGGTTATGACACTGCAGGTTGGACAGGCGACTTCTCCCTTCTCACTGATCTCACGCTGCCACTGGTCCTCGGGGTTTGCTGGCCAGGGGAGAGAGGTGTTAACTGAGCAGTAGAGACAACCACCTGCCCAGGCTGCTCGTCAGGAGAGCCCTTTTTAAAGTCATGGTTTGCCAAGTTGAAAGCCACTTCAGTGGTGAAAGTTACAGATTTCTCTCACAGTCATGGGTCAAGTCAAATCCAGACACACAAACTTCCCAGGCACTTGCAGCTCTACCTCCCATGCAAGTCCTGAAGCTGCCTGAGCAAACTAGGTCACTGGGCCATTTTATGTACAGTTAACTGACTTGCTGGCATTTCATAAGGAAAATGAGGTTTGCTTTTCCAACCCCACTCCATATCCTGCATATCGGGAGTTTAAACACCAGGATGCCCCTGGCCACCTCATCTTGCCCTGCTTAGAACAACTCCCGGCTGCCAAATGAAACCATCAGTGGGAGTGAAACAAAGTGAACGTCTCAGCTCCATCCAGACCGTGTGCCTGGAAAGTTTTCCCTGGCTCTCTTATGTTCCCGGCAGAAGCACACGGAGCTAATGGGCATACTAGCTTCCAGCCATGTGTTTATTTGAACGGCTGTGACAAGCTTAAAATATACTCAGAATAAAAGCTATGTGGGGCCAAAACCTGCTCCCAGGCCCAGAGTTCATGCCGTGTTCTCAGCAGAACACGGTACATTTCCAGCAAGGGAAGCCTGGCCTGGATACAACCTGCCCAGACTGTTTATTTGGATGCTTTTGCACGGCTGTGAGATCAGAGAGACGTTTATTTGAATGTGAAGCCTGTGCAAGGCATTGCAGCTGTGTTTATTTTGCACATCCTGCATTCCTCCTGCTGCCAGAGCTCCCCAGGGAAAACCAGCAACCTGTGTTTGGATGCAGGCTGTGCCTCGGAGGCTCGGGGAGGACGCGGTTGCACCTGAAGCCATTGGCATCATTCCTGGAGGTGATGGCAGAAAAATGTCATTGCCCCAGGAGCTGATCCAAATTGTGGCCATGCCGCAGCCAGCTTCAGGATTGGGCTGTCAACTCCTAGTGCTCAGAGTGAAGTAGGGCACCCATTTCAGGATGCTCCTGTGGCCACACAGATATGGTGGGGCCAGTGTCTGCTTTCACATCTGTGCTCCACCTCGGACAGATGGGACCTGCTCGCTTCCAGCTCTTGTCTAGTGCTGCATTTAGCTTGTGCTTATGCTCACAAAATCTGGGAGAAAATTAACCCAACAGAACAGTCTGCTGGGCCTGGAGGAGTGCGAGGACCAGCAGCTGCAGTGCAAAGGTGGAACCACACAACTTTGGAGCAGAGCACAGGAATGAACTGCTGGAGCAGCAAGGACGTGTACAAAGCTGCTGCCCTGCTCTGGCTCCACCAGCCTCACCTGCTGGTAAATGCACAACCGCTTCCTTCTTCACACCAGCTCCTGGGGGCTTCTTCTTCAGGTCCTCCATGTGGGTGTTCCCCTCCAGCTTCTTGGCTCGATGGGCTTTCGCCTTGTCTTCTGCTTTGACAAGACCTGCACAAGGAGGGAATTTTAACTTAATGTCTGCTTGACCTGAATTTAGCAGGATAAAAATCTCTGACATGGGGACATCGAGTCAGCTATTGCTCTGCCAAGATTATACACATAGGACCAGGCCCTAAGAATGATAAGCTAAGTCACGACAGTGTGCAGTGCTTTGTAAACACAAAGAGAAATACTTCCCCCCAAGGCAGTTCATGGGCTATGGGAATGTGAGGTCACTGTTGTGGCAAGGAGGAACTTTTCCTTGTACAAGTGCATGGGCAAAGCACGTGCTTCCCATTCAGGCTTGGGAAAGCCAAGATAATGGAGACCTGGGCCCCACCAACCACCTCAGACCCATGGACCGTTCGGCCTCGTGTCTGCACTTCCAGAAGGAGAATGGGAGGCAACGTCAGCGTCAGGGCCACACCCACGTGTACGTGAACCTGGAGGGCCAGGTTGTGATTCTGGCAACCCCAGGGTTGCCCCTGGGGGCCAGTGAAGAGAAACAACCCCAGACTTCCCAGGAGCCAGAGAGCAGGATACCAGAGGGACCACATCCAACCCACATGTTGGTAAGTGTGTTTAGTTCCTTCAAAGCCATTAGTGCCTCTCCCTCAGGACTTATACTGGAAAGTGCTGCCTCCTCCAGTGCCTGGAAACTCGCTTCTGTTTTCCCCAGTTGAATGAATTTAGTCTCCAACCCAAATCCTGTTGCTCTTATGCCTGGGATTTTCCAGGTTTCCTCCCTTCCTGGTACCCGTGCTGGGGTTTATGGAGCACACAGTTGCAGTCCCTCTCACTCTGCCTTCATCAGGTTCTTCCCCTTCAAATTCATTTTCTTTAAAACCACCAGCACTCGAGATGCTGTTGATTAGGAGGACAGATGTGCCCCTTAGTCTCCCTATGCAGCACAAATTCTCCTGGATTTCACTGGAAATACTGCTACATCCCAGGCCTGCGTTTGTCTTTTGACCATTTGTGCCAGCAGCTCTTCAGTCTCATGTTTCAGATTGGACATAGCCAGGTCCTTTCCCCTCTTCCCTCATTTCCCAGGACCAGCTCCCAGTGCGGAGCAGACAGGGCTGATAGCATCCTTCCCTTTCCAAGCTCCCCCAGAGTGACATCCCACAGGACACACCCAGGTGGCCCCCATGGAGAAGGAGCATCCCTGATACGCCCCAGGGAGAAGCTACAACTCTACAGCTGGCCGGGTTGCCCCCATATTACCTTTCAGTCCAAAAGTTCCCGAGATGGAAGGCTGCTCCCCCGTAAACTTCTTAGGAGTTTTCTGTTTCCTTCCTGACTCAAAAGAGAGAAAACACAGAGAGAGATTTGGTCAAATAACTGTGCTGACAGTGGGCTGCAGCTGTCCCTAGGCAAGGGGAGCGCACCGGCTCACGCCAAGAGGGGCCAGACAGGATCCAACCCACAGAGGCCTTTTCCACCATGAAATATAGGGGCTATTGAAGCCTCCAGCCCATCAAACGGTGAGAGGACACTGTTTCCCAACCCAGAGCCGAGGAGTGATGGTGGCATCCACGGAAGGCCAGCACAACACCTGGAAATTGTAGCTTTACACCTCATGGTTTCCAGAGCCTGCACAGCTTTGGCCACCGTGGTGTCCGTGCTGGTTCACTTTGCAGCCACTAGCAGGGTGACACTGCGCTGTGGCAGGAGCAGCCGTGGCCCAGCATGTCACTGCCTGCCACCACGTAGTGATAACCGACACAGGGAGCCTCCCCACCCTGCCCCAACACCTGTGGAAAATGGGTTTGCAAGAGCCACCCTGGTGTAAACTGCCACGGCCAGTTAGGACAGATGAACTGACAGATGGCAGCTTGCTGTGCTGCGGGGAATTCAATCCACTGGTGACCATACAGCTCCCACAGATACATATCCACCACAGCTGCAAACTGCTTCTAACTCGCTGCAGAACTCACTGCTGCAAGCAACTGCTAGGGGCAAAATTACCAGAGTGTTCAAAAAAGGGATCAGATGCATTTGGAGGAGAGGGTTTGCAGAGCCACGCGGCCCTGGCAGGGCGCGCTCTGGACACCCCTTGCCAACTGCCCGAGGCCAGAAGGCTTCACGAGGGGCAGGAGCACCATGTCATCCTGTCCTGCCCTGCTCCTCACGCACCGGGACACGTCCCTGGATCCTGTTTGCCCTCACAAACCCAAGTGCTTGTGGAGGGAAACTCGCAGCAGCTCTTCCCAGAGCAGAGTCCCTGCCCTTCCTACGGGACCCCCTCTCCAGGCTCTAATCTTACTGTGCTTCATCCTCTCAGGGTCTTCCTCCTGCAGCGAGGCCTGGCTGCCTCCCTGCTGCCCGGCATCCTTGCAGCTCGAAGACTTCGCCGTGGGCGTCGCGGCTGCAGTTGCCTCTGCCGCTGCGATCTGAAACTCCCTGCTCTCCCGGCTCTCCGCCGGGCACTCGCCGTTCGCGGCGTGCGCCTGGGCCACGGCCTTTTCCGTCTTTGCCTGTTTGGGATGGATGGTGGGGCAAGCTGAACTCTCAGCAGCTCTAGGGCAAAGCACAGAGGGCTTGTTTAAAGAGGGGGTGAGAGATAAACGTCGCTGACACCTCTCCCCGCTCCCCAGCCCACGGGAATGAAAGTAGGAAGGTTCCCCTTCTCCCAGCCCTCCCCACAGCAGTGCCTCGCAGCCCAGCCACCACCTGGTACCTTTTCTTGCCACTGCTCTTCCCAATGGACTTCTGCACTTTGCTTTCCGCTTTGCTGCTTGGCACTGGCCGGTCCAAGTGATTCCACAGGCGATGCTTTTCCAGCTGTGTCTTGGAGGTAAAGGCAGCCTCACAGTACGAGCACGAGTACGTCAGCTTCTCCGAGATCGCTCCCTGTGCAGGATGGGAGGAGACGGACAGTCAGGGACATCGGAAGGACCAGGTTTTTCCTGATGGGGACGGGCACGACAACGTGGCATCTCACGAGGGGTTCGTGGATGCTGGGCGGGAGGCGACGGGCGCTGCTCCGAGAGGGGCAGCAAGGAGCTACCAAGAGCGGAATCAAAGCTCAAGCTCTGGGTAGCTGAGGGATCATTTGAAAGTGCCTTTAACAACAGCGCAAGCTATGGGCATGCAAATAGGGCAGTGCATAAATACATAAATACCCTTCTCCCCGTTGGAACAGAGCTACCCTTGGCCCAGGTCACCTCTGAGCTGGACCTGACAGGGTGTTGAAGGGACCCTGACCCTCTCGCACACACCTCGCAAACAGCCTCTGGCCCATGTGTGCCCTCTTGCCTTTCTTCCCCCTTTTTTAATCTCACATTTCACCTGACTTCGACGGCCTGAGAAGGATGGTTTTGCCCTGAGAATGGCAGTGCAAGAAAGGACGCGGTGCCCTAGGGCTGCTTACCCCCTGGCAACGCTGGTAGTGGTACTTCAAGCCATAAATGCTGGGGAACTCCAGCCAGCAGCCCGAATTGGGGCATTTCACCCTGGAGTGTGCTTTGAACTCGTCCTTCCACTGGTTCATCAGGGGCAGCTGGGAAGAGCAGACAGGAGAGACACGAGTGAGAGAAGCGTTGGTGCCCTGGTGACCAGGCAGATGCATCTCGAGAGGGCTGGGGACACGGAGCGGACCCTCGCGCCGCTGCTCTCCGCCTCCCCAGCCCCTTCCCTCCGCACCGCAAACCATGGCACCGCGTGGGCTCCTGCCAGCAAACGGGACCATAACAGAGTTTTGGACATAGGCTCTATGGAGTTTCAGGTTCCTCCTGAAAACTCATCCTGCTGGGTCTCCCAGAGCGAGGAATAAGCCAGGCCGCAAGTCACTCGGGTGATTTAATCACCCCACATTTCATCTAGTCATTAAATCAGCCCATGCCCACACTCTCATGACAAACTGCTCCGTGTGTTGTCCACGCTCCCGTGCGGGAATTAAACTGCACAATTCCGCAGGGAATAAATCACCCTTCCCCTGGTGCTCCCTGATCATTAAACCAAACACAACAGGGCTGTGAGGGAATAAAGCTCGGCTGGGAAAGCCCCAAGAAGGGGAGCTGGAGAAGCCGGGGGACACCGGCGTTTTCCAAGGTGCTGGGGATGCTGAGGGATGACAAGGAGGAGACGCGGGGACCCGGATCCTGCAGAGCTGCAGACTGTTCTGAAGGCTAAACCATCCAATAGGCAGGTCTGGCTCCTGCTGAGCTGGCTGGAGCAGGCGGGCAGGACAAGACGGATGGAGAGGGATGGGGCCTGGGGCGAGACAATGCGGGGGCTTACGGGAATGTCCTTCAGCGCCTGGTTCTCGGCCTTGGGTCGTCCCTTCTTCCTGCCTTCCGCTTTGTCGCTGGTTGCATTTCCTGCAAGCAGACGCGGCACAGGTGGCCCCGGGCACCGCGGCGGGCGACCAGCTCCGCACTTGGCTGCCAGGCTGCCCTCCCGCTGCCAAGGGCCTGAGGAGCCGCAGTGCTGCTGGGGACAGAGATTCCCCCTTGGAAAGCAATCCCAGCTTCCCTGGGAAACCAGGGCAGAGCTGAGCACCCACAGATACCCACATGGGAGCTGGCTGTGCCCAGCCCAGCTGCTGCTGCCTAGAGGAGAACCTGGCCAGTGTCCGTCTCCCTGCTGGTTATGGAAGCAGATACAGAGAAATTCCAGCCTGGCTGGGGCTTGCTTTGGAAATCCAGCCTGCAAGTCCTTCTGCTTGGGTTGCAAGACATCCCTCAGCGACTAAACTGCTGAGCAAAAGAAATGTGAGCCCAGACGGGACCCCAGGCCAGGGCTGCAGACAGGAGCCAGCTCGGAGGGCACGGAGGCCACAGTCTCTGCGAGGGGCTCACAGCTTCCACGAGCTCGGAGCTTTGGGAGCTCTGTTCTTCCAGCCTGGCCATTGCTAACAGAAACAGCCCAAACCAGGGCGGTTTTGGAAAATGGGTGCCTCCAGGTGAAAAGAGCCTGAGCAAAGCTCTTTCAAATGTATTTTGGGGGCTAACCCATAAATTTGAGGGATGCAGGGAGCCAGTGTAGCCCAAGCCAAGCTGGATGTGTGAAGGGCCTTTGGGAAACAGTGGACGGAAGGCTCAGACTGCTCAGACCAGGGGGTTTAATGAACAGGCCTGGGAATAGGAGCCGTTTGCTGCAAAAACCAAACCTCCCCGCAAAGGAAACCCCATATCAGCCAGCAGGGGATAATTCAGGTTAAAACAAATCAACCCTAACACATCTATAAAACAGTCTTCCCTGGTGAAAAGCAGGTAGAAAGAAGCACCACCTGCAACCTCCCCAGCTCCGAGGCTCCTGCTGGCCACATTCAGAAGCTAAGCCAGGATTTTGGGAAGAAGTGCTAGAGATTAAACAGAGAGCCAAGAGGTTACCTACAAAAGCACTGCCAAACACACATTCTGCCTCCTTTTTCATGCCTTCTGCCCCACCAGCCAGAGGAAAAATAGCAAACAAGACAATTTAATTTCCAGCCCCCTGAAGCTGTGCCAGCTGGTTTGCTCTGCTTTGATATCCATAAAAGCATCATTTGATGATGGTGCATCCTTTGGGAATCCCACTTGCCCAGAAGGCCTCGCCGGCAAGACGTGACTGTTCACGTACAGCACAGCAGTGACCTTTATGGAATATAAATTAAGTCCTTAAAAAGCCATTTACCTTCCCCCCTGCGAGGCAGCCTCATTGCTCCGGCGGGGCCCCAGAGCTGCAATAAAGCAGGAGCCCACAGCAGCGCGGAGCCAGCTGGCGAGGCAACAGGTACCCGCGGCTCTGAGAGGGGCTTGTTCACAACCACCTATTTAATGCTGCCTAGTCCCGCTCCAGCTCACACAGCAGTCATAAAAAACGCCCCGTTTGGTTTGGGCTCTCCCCAAAATGTAAAGGGAGGCTTGTGGCCCTAAAGGGAGCGGAGGATTCTGCAAGCAGGCCCCAAAACCACCTAGCTCTGCTCTGGGCTGGGCTCCCACTCTGAAACCAAGGCGAGGGGTGAGCCCGGGCGAAGGCGGCCAGGGCTCGCACTGCACATATGCCTGGCACAAGCAGATGGCAGAAAATTCTTCTTGGGCCCAGAAATTCCTGGGGAGAGGAATTCTAGGCTATCCATCAGAGCAACAACTCTCTGCGAGCTGGTTCTCCCGGCTCGCACGCTCACGAGCCGACATCATGGGGGACACGACGCGGGAGACAGCAGATGGTCTGGACTCATCCGAGCCCTTCCATCCTTCCACGTAACACCTAGCTTCCAACATGACATAAGGACAGCGAGACACTCGTCAGACAGACACACAACCCTCTAGAGAAGGAGAATACCCCTCTCCCTCCCCTCCTGGCATTCCCTGTTTCCTGGGACCTTCTCCCTACAGCTCCAGGGGCCCACAGCCTTCGTGGCCCAGCACAAGCAACGCTGCTCGTGGGGACCACGGAGCTGAGGCTGCACCGAGCCGCCCACACGCGCCAGGAGGCTCGATGCCTTCGCACCTTGTCCCCTCCTTCCTCTTCACCTCCACGGAACCAAAATCCTGTTCCTTACCGAGCTTGGGAAGCTCTGCCGGCGGATTTATCCTCGTGTCCGTCCTGCTTTCTTTGCTCGCCGTGGGTTTGTTCGAGCCTGCAGTTTTCCTTCCACCTTTGCAGGCATAGGAATCCCCCATCTCTGAAACGAGCAGTGGGTGTTAAACTAGCACGCAGCTCCGTGAAGCTGGGAAAAACACATGCTGAAAACAGGGAAAGCTGCTGGAGAGGGAGGGGATTTAGGAAACTACCAGATACTAAGTGTTGATCTAAAGAGAAGAAACAGGACACGTTTCTAAGCGCTTGCTGTACGGCCGAGCCACGCTGCAGACACGGCTGAAGAGCTGCTTTCGTTGCAGGCTGTTTTCTCTCCACATATAACGGCAAAGACTTTATTGAAAATTATGGGCTGGCTTCCTCCAAAGAAGCAACGAATAAATGGCTTTTCCCCTTCGTTTATTTCTACACTTACATTTAAAACACCAAAAGAAAAAAAATACTGAGTTTTAATGAGCAGATGTAGTGATAAATTTCCAATTTTCCTTATTAATGGGAAACTGTTATAAACTGAGAATTGTTAATGTTATCTAAATTTTCCGTATTAATAATTCAATTTGGCTTCTCTATAAATAATGAACATCAGAAATTATCGCAAAGGGCCCACTCTGGCTCCCAGTGGAAGCAGGAGGACAACCCTCAGCCTCAGCGGTGGCGGGATTAAGCCCGCTGCACGGCAGGATCTCGCCTGAGTTTATTCCAAATATCTACAGCTGCACGAGAAGCCTCAAGCCTGGCACGCTCAAACCAACGAAGGAGCAACAGTCGGCTACAAGGAGTCTCCCGAATGTGCCGGGATTAACTGTCCCCCTCTTGACTATCAGGCAGGAGGGATGCCCAGCCATCGCGGAGATGACGCTCATGTCTTTCCCTTTTGGAAATGCCTCTTAAAATGAAAGTGGAATTTCCTGGAGGGCTGAGCAACTGGGGGCTTTGGGGAGCATGTGGCAGCTTCAGCACTGCAGAGTCGAGCTGCATCCACCCAACTGGGAGCCAAATCCGCAGGAGTCCTGCTTGGGCCAGGTCTGCTGCAAAGGGCAGTGACTCCGAGGGAGCCAAATAATCCTGCCCGTGTCTACAAATCCGCTGAAATCTAGGGGCAGAGTGAAACATGACTCTGGACCATCTGCTTATACTGATATTTATTGTGTTCTCTAATGCAAAAAACACACAGCTCCTCTCGATGGTATCTAGAAGATGGTGCCAAATCCCTCTCCAGGGAAACTGAGGAGCGGAGCCTTCCCTCTTTCCTGCAGGCTGCCACAAGGCAAAGAGGGTGGCCTGGACAGAGGGCTCCGAGGTGGCTCAACAAGCTGCTCAGCCCCTCATCCCGTCGGGACCAAACGCAACAGGGCAGGCAGAGCATCTCCAAGGCAGAGGTGTCTCCTTCCCTTCTCTCCCTGCTCCCAGATCCCACAGGAATTGAGGGTCCAAGAAGAGGTGGAAGAATTGAGGCACCAAGGTGATTTTCAGGAGGACAGCACTGTCCCAGCCCGACACACAGCCTCACTGCTCGTGACACCATCTTCGACAACCAAGAGCCAGATGAAGACAAGACAGGCAGGTGTCAAGGAACGCTGAGGTCTCGGGCGGCTTCGGAGCCGGTCCCTGCAGTGTTTCATTCCGTCACCTTCATCCGTGCGGGTCCTTCTCTGCACAGCTCTGTCCTGAGCAGAGCGTGGCCTTGCAGGGCGCAGTGGTGCTGACGAGGCCTCGGCATGCAGGAATTCTCCGGAGCCGTGGCCAGGCTGCCCGCAAGGCCGCCCTGCTCCACGGTGCGGTGTCCCATGCCGAGCAGGAGACACGACATTCCCCTTGCTGAAAAGCAGTAGGGCCCGAGGAGAAACTCCAGCCTGCAAGGAGCCCTCCAGACCTCTGCAAGAGCCTCGTGCACTGGCAGGGAAGCCCTTGCCGGCCACCGCGGCCACTTCTGGCCCGAGGGCTGGAGGGGACACGGTGAGAAGCAACGCGCCTGGCGGTGCTTCCTTCCCCTTTCCCTAGCACTTCTCTT